AGCTTCACAGCAAGTGTCTGTCTGCAACCACGATCTCGCCTAGAGGACGCCACGACCATGTGTCAGAGCAGGGAAGATGGCTGCGGGTCGTGTTCGTCACCCGATGCAGAGTTCGTGAACGGAAGCAAAAATTTGCGAATGCTGCTGTTCGCGAACCGAATTGTTCGTGAACAGAAGCATTTGTGAACCGAGGTATTACTAGAAATTATAGCTGGTGCAAAATACAGCAGCTAGACCACTAACAGGGGTCATACAATACCTGTACTAAAGAATTTAAAGAGATTATAAATTGCTTAACTGGCATTTAATGGGGTGGCATTGATTTTTCAAGGGTTAAACAACATAGGGCCTGACTATCTAAAGGATTTCCTCTTATTATGTTCCTGTCCACTTGTTAAGAAAAGCTGGAGACGCCTCTCTTGTCAGAGGCTTGTGCTTCTGGTGTGCAGGGGAGGGGCGTCTCTTGTATCGCTTCCAGCTATGGAATACACTCCCCAGGAGTTGTGCTTGTACCTTACTCTCTCTGTGTTTAGCATACCTGGAAAGGTACATCATTTTTGCCAAGCTTTTCACTGACAGATAATTCTAGTACTTATTGTATCATTTTATCCCAATTTTTAACTTTTTATATTGTGTGTGCATTTGTGTGTATGTATGCATTTTACACTTTGTTGGTCTTGAGTGCTTGTTAGAGGAGAAGAGCAGGGTATACATCAAATAAATAAAATATTTGTCTCTAAGGTCTGGACTAACTGCTTGTAGGAAAATTTTGCAGTCAAGCCAACAACCCAGTGAAATTAAGCCCAGGGCCTCAGGTCAAGCAGTCCAACCAATATGATAATCTGCTCCACTTCCAAAACTGTTTAAGGCCTCATGTTTTGCCATGTTTCTTCATTCACATTGCAAGTTAAAACTAGTTGGGAATAATCTTAGAGGTAAATATTCAGTATAGGATCTAACATCTCCTCTCCAATGACATCCTAATTCATTACCTATAAGTACAACAGAAATGAAATGAGAAGGAGAAGGGAGAAAAGAGAAGGGGGAAGGGGAAGAAGGAAGGAAGGAAGGAAGGAAGGAAGGAAGGAAGGAAGGAAGGAAGGAAGGAAGGAAAGATGGGTTGGGATTATTGAAGATCACTATATATCTTTTTCCTATATGAAATAATTTTCCCCAGGGGCCTGGAAATCATTCTGATGCAACAGAAACTTTCACTGCAGCCCAACTGATTTTACTAGACTGGCTGCTGAAATATGATGATTCATTCTGCATGTTCAAGCATGCCCATTTCATTTATGTTAATAAGTCTTAGATGTGCATAAAGAAAAAAGCTCAAACTTTGTAATGCACAGAATGATTTCCCTTGGATCAGAGCTGTCATAAGGGATAGGGGATTTCCATTGTACTGTACATTTTCAGAATCAAAGATTTAGGAGGAAATGTGATTCCTTGAGCTATAATGAGATAGCTGCAATATGAAGCAGGGAGACATTGCTGATATTTCCCCAAGAAGGAATTTGTCTGTGAATTATTATCAGTAAAAGCTTTGATGAACAGTCTGCATTATAGTCCTCATTGTCCCAACATGCAGATCAATGATATGAGTTATTTCTGTTTACAGATGAGGCACTGAGGCTAAGATTAGGTTGCATGCAGCAGTGTGGTTAGGTAATTACATATTCTGGATTTAATCATCCTACTTGCAATGTCTGTGGTGAGGGGGAGCCTCCTCAGTGGGCAGTGGGCATTTCTTCCCTGATTTCTAAATGTGGTAAATTAGCCTTGCTATATTTGGAAAGCCTTCTGCTGATTGTGCTGAATGGGCACCAGGCTGTCACTCCACAGTCTTTCCATGATGACTTCATTGATAACTGTAACACATGACAGGAATGGAATGGAACGGAATCTGTGTGTGACTCAGCCATCACAAAGTTGTCCGAGAAATGGAAAGGTCTGTATTATGATAGCAAATTTATATCTGGCTCTTCATATCCCAAATCACTTGGAGGAGGGGCAATAACATTTTACTTTTGGAAAAGCAATAGCAGTTGGTTCTTATTGAGAAGAACCACCTCCAGGATATTGTAAGGGTATCTGTGATTTCCATGGTATGAAAGAATCCATAAAGAAGTTACTATTGCATATGGAAACCATTTCGTAATTCACAGTCCCTGGGACGCTTCAAGGTTAGGTAGTTTCAGATGGAGTTCAAGAGGCCTGATGGCTGTATAGCTCTACAGAAAGCTTGTATACCATAGCAGCAATGTAACAACAGATTAGAAACCAGATTGGATATGATCAAGCTTATTTTCTTGGGGGACACCAAGCAGCACATGTATCTGTTAGAAGAAGAAATGCTTTTACCACCTTAGTCTTATAAACAACATAGATTAAGATCCAATATATTTCTCTGTTCTTCTTGTTTGAATGGGTTCCTCTGAGGTATCCTTAGACAGCAAAAGGAGAAGAGATTTAACATCCCTCTAGACATTGTGCTCCTCCCACACATGGTCTGTATTTTTAGGTATTGGGAATGTAGATGTGTCATTCAGAATTACTGCAAAGTACTGACAAAATGTGGCAAAATCAGACAGATTGTAAATCTGTTTCCACAGGCAACTTTAAATTAAATCAGGGAAACAGAGGTATTTAGTAAAAACTGTATTAATTTGGGGGCTTGTTTCATCTCAGTATGAATGTTGGCTCTGGTGTTACTTTTCTGCAGAGCAGTAGAGTTTAAGTTTCCAAATAATATAGCAACTAGAAAAGCTTAGTAAATATCTCATTGTGCCCACTGCGTAGGTCAACCAAGAATGGCCTGTAGGACACTGTGGCCCTCAAAGGCTGACTATGAGGCCTTCCTTGGATCCCTTCTAGAATTCCTGGTAATCTGCTGATCATCAGTTCAATCTGTTGAGTTGTATCTTGATTTCAGACTCTCATTCTCGTCCTAACGCACCCTCTAAAACTGCTGTTAATGTAAAATGCATCTCTGATCTTCTTGGAAGAAGGAATACACACAAATGTATCAAATAGAAATCACTCAATGAAATAGGGCTTAAAGAAAAATAAGCATGATTTATGCGCATGGAAATGTGCTTAGGATTACTCTGCCAGAATCTTTCTCAAGGCCACCTAGTTAGACTGGCTTCAAGCATAAACTCCCTCCAATTATGACATCACACAAGCTTTCAAAATCAGCTTTTTTCTCCCCATTTCCGGCAGCTAGGATTGTGGAGGGAGTTATATCAGCAGGGATGGGAGGTTCCCACAACTTTTAAAGTCATTTTTGTATCTGTCAGTAAAGGCATTAACAAGCTGAGTTGGCTGCGATTAAAATAGCATAATTTTGTGACTTCAGTGTCTGGCAAGCTAGCCCTTGTAGGATGCTGTCTAGCTTTCTTTCTCTTTTTTAAATTTATATCTATAGCAAGATAAAACCTTGGCTAGGAACTAGCACTCTCACAGTGCTGTGAGCTGTGTTGCAGCTACAAATCTTCTAGCTGTATCAACCAGAGTGTAGACTTAAGAAGAGAAGGCATCCATGTTGGAAGTCAGGGTCAGAGAGAGAAATAGAGAAATAAGAAGCTTTGCAAGTACAACCAAGACAAGCCGTACATTCCGATTATTTCTAAGTGCATGCAACCATCCGTACCCGATTAACTTTTTGGCCTACAAAATTCTATTGGTGTTGCTTTTTCTGGCTATATTTCCACCCTATGTCTGTTTCTTCATCCTGAAAATATCTTCCTTTGTGCTCTGCCATGATTTAGCTAATTCTCCAAATTTTTCTGTCATCCCACCCACTGAAGAGCCTTCCATTTTTACTGTATTTGGTTTGCCTAATTCACAGAGTGCTTTTAAATATATTTTGAAGAGCTTTTTGCTGCTGTTTTCGAACGTCTCTTTGCACAGTGACAGGTACCTGTTGTGCCTTCTTCTCCCTCCTCCCTCACATTAGCCATAGCAGCGTCTTTGGGGAATGGGTTTTTAAAAAATCAATATAACGATTATGACCACATGATTGAAGCCTTGCCCCTTGTCCATGCAAATAGTGGGGGGTCACGGCTGCCACCTTGACTTTTTTGACTCCCCAAGACTCCCCTGATTCCACAAGTCCCTCTTGCTCTTGCCCACATGCCCTGGAATGAACAATTCCCATGGGAGGAATCACATGCTGACTTCCACAAGGCATTAACTGAAGCACAGAAAGCATCAGGCAGAATGCAGTTGATGCTTCCACGGGCAGATGCTGGGAGGCAGCAGCAGCCCCACATTGGAGAAGCAGAGCTGCAGTGCCCTGGTACCCTAAAGTAACGCACCACCTACTGGGGTAAATAAAAATAAAATGGTCAGTCTTATCAATTGTGTCACTTTCTTGATCTTTGTCTCAGGCACAAAACATCTTGAACTGGCCCTTCCAGGAAAGCTGAAGATGGTAGGAGAGAAAAGGCTATAATGATGGGTGTGTTCTCTCCTCCTTCACTAACAGTATTTACACTAGTTGGGAGTAGGTGGATGATATAGTTAGTCCTTGACTTACGACCACAATTGGGACTGGAACTTTTGTGGCTAAGCAATCCGGTTAAGTGAGTTGCACCTGATTTTGCAACCTTTTTGTCCTGGTCATTAAGTGAATTACCATGGCCATTAAGCAAATCCGGTGTCCCCTGTTGACTTTGCTTGTCAGAAGCCCCTTGGGAAGATCGCAAATGGTGATCAAAGGAGATCAGGATCCTGCAACCATTGTAAATGCATGTCGGTTGCCAAGTGCCCGAATTTTGATCATGTGACTGTAGGGATGCTGCACTGGTCTTAAGTGCAAGGACCAGTCGTAAATCACTTTTTTTAGCACTGTTGTAACTTTGCATGGTCATTAAATGAATGGCTATAAGTCGAGGAATACCTGTACAGTAAAATCAACACTGTGACCACAAGCACACAATTTAAGCCCTGTCCCCTTTTTACATGCACCATACATGTAGGACTTTGATTGTGTGATTGTAGCCACCATCCTGACTTTTTATTTTATTTATTTCATTATATTTATTATACCTGCCCACTCCAGCAGACTCTTTTTTGACTCACTTCATAACACCCTTGGCCCAGGCCATCTCCTAACTTAGATAATTGCAAGCATGCTAGTTTACACATGAAATTTTCACTGACATTTTTTCTTCTTTAAATAATTGTCTGGTTTGATGGGAAAAGGCAAAGGAAAGTTTTAGCATACATTAATTTTTACTGGGGACTCTGCAACAGCTGTATTCTACACCAGACTCCCATTAGCTCCATGCTCAGTTCTTTTATTAAACTCACTCAACATTTTCAGTATATAAATTTCATTTAAAAAATGAGGATGGACATGATGGAAGTCTGGTGTGGCCCAGCACTGTTGCAGAGTCCACAATAAACACCAGTACACGCCACCACTTTATTTTGCCTTTCCCCAACAGCAATTTCTAGTCAAAGGGATTGCAGAATTCCAAGCAAAACTGGAATTTATTTCTATGCAGTAAACAGAACTCTATGCCTGACAACAGACTATGATAATTCCCATAACCACACCTGAAAGAGACAAACCTCAGAAATACTCAAGACAAAGTTCCATATAATAAACCTGGCTTATGAATACCTACTTATTTAGATACTATGTTTTGACTCACGTCAAAAAATGTAATCATAAGGTATAGGTAGGTAAGCAGATTAGTAAAATCCAGGCGTGTGATTTTAAATGCCAGGTATATCAAAGTAAAGAAATATGGATAGTGCAGTACAAAAATATATCAGTCAGCATCCATGAAAATGATGCACTGAAACACAATAGGAGATGTGAAAAAATGAAGTAGGATTCTTAAGAAGGTAACCATCCACCAGATGGGGTTGCCCAACCTTCTTTCAAGCCAAGAGTTACACTTGGGGTTTGAGTAATAGAGTAAGGGTCACAGGCTGTGCATCTACGTCCTAGACATACTAGACATCTACAACGCTGGCTGGGGAATTTAGGGAGTAGAAGTCCACACCTCTTAAAATTGCCAAGGTTGAGAAACACTGTACTAATCACTGATACAAGAAATCAGTCTTCTGTACCCATTGGTTCCCTATGGAAATGGCTGCTTATTCCAAAGTTATTTTAAATCATAAGCGTGAAGGATATAATGAATTATTTCAATTGCCGTTCCCAATCTTGGAGAGGAATAGCTCTAGAGATGCAGTTCCGACACTCCAAGACAAATGGATTGCCAATTCTGATTTGTGTGTGGTTATCACTAAATAGGGCTGAAATCACAAGCATGAAACAAGAGTTCTGCAGAGAGAAGCCAGCTATCTGACTTTTAAAAATATCTAATAATCACGTGGCATGCTTTCAGCAGACTTAGCCAGAAGATAACGCTTTTCTTCTAGTACCATTGACATGTTTTCATTTTTCTTATTGTATTTTGTCATGTTGGGTTTTTTTTTAACATTTAAAAGGCTTTTTTCCCCCTTTTCCTTTCAAGCATTTCCTCTTCTGTTAATGATTTTTACTGCTATGGACTCACTTGAAGAAACGCCTCAATGGCTATTCTCAAGGAGTTTCTTTCCTTTTTTGAAAAAAAGACAAATAGGTGGCATTTCAGCTTCAACAATAAATTCTGCTAGAAAATAAGGTAGGGAAAGCACACTCACCATGACTTCTGGCAGCCATAGGAGGTATCTAAATTTTCTTTTGTGTATCAAAGTAACTTTTTTGTGTATGTGCTTCTGCTTTCCCCTTGAGTTTTCTCTATAAGAGAGACAGAGAGGGTGTGTGTGTGTATGCATGAGGAAGCACAGGACTGGCTCCCTCCACACCAAATTTGTTTCCATTCAATTCAGGTTTCCAAGAGTTATCCTACTGATAGGCAGAGTCCTGAGCCCTTGTACATATTTTTTCCAACAGTCCTTTGGGTTGGAAATAATTTTTAAAAATACAGTAACCCTGTTTACGCAGTTCTACTTCAACCTTAGTTGTTAAGCATTGGTTACGTCAAAAGAAAGTACAGTTTATTAGGTCTGCTTAATACTGTATGTATTTCAGTGAAAGACAACTAATGTAGATGACTAACGGTAACCTTTCTTTTTCTTCTGCTTTGGAGCAGTTTCACTGTAATCGAATTATTTTAGCCTTTTTGATACAAATTCAACACATTTTTACAAAGGATGCTCTAACATGATTTTGAAAGGCTCTTAAAACAAAAATATTAGTGAGACATGAATTGTAATCGAGTATGAGTCCCAAAAGAATCCTTTCTCCATTCATTATTGAAAGTAAATAAAATCAAGTAAATAAAATAGCTGGGAAAGTAGGAAGGAAAGAGTTAAATCTCAAAGCAGTTGCAGACATCCTATTTGGAGGATGCAGACATCTACTTTACCCTGCTAAGTACTTTGGCTTGCCAGGTGCTTAACAGGCCCTTTGCTGTTATTGACCTAGGAAGGAATGAGTGCACACACATACACCCATGCAAATTTCATCAAACATCTAGTGGGCCCTTTCACTAATTCAAATCAATAGACTTGTTTTAGAAAAGACTGGCCTCTCTTTCTTTTTTGCATGATCTAACTATGGGAGAATGCTTTTCATAGGAAATGACAAATCTGGACTTTTTTTTTTAAATAAGCATAAAGGTTTTAGTTAAATGTAAAACTAGGTTAGATAAGCAGATCATATACTTTTCTATTCAACTTTCCCTGATATATATATTTTTGGTACATAAATTCCCTAAATGCACTTTTTTTTTTTTTTACTTCCCAGAATTTTATTCAATTTTATCTTTTCTTGAGCCCATGGAAAGAAAGCTTTCTACCACTTTTATTTCTTTGCCATCAGTTGTGAAGTTCCCTAAGTGTACTTTTTGTGTGCATAAAAAAACCTCTTCTTAATATTTAACATCTAGCCCAAATCTTCACTTCCTGTTTTTAGTTCACTAACAAACTCTTCTAAGACCGCTTCACTTTTATCTAACACAGGGGTGTCATCTGCATATCTCAGATTGCTAGTGCTTTAGCCTCCTATTTAGATTCCAGGTGTCATCTCTTCCAGTCCAGTAATAATACATTCACTATCTAAGTAAAACAAACACAAGAACATCAAGCATCCTTATCTCATTTCCTTTCTTAGTCTGAACCATTACTTCTTGAAATTCAGTTCTTAAATTACCATCTTATTATTTGCAAAAGTTCCTCTGAACAAAAGTCAGCTATTCTAGAGCACACATTAGCTTCAATATATTCCACATTATGACATGATTAACACAATCAAAGGCCATGTTGTAACCAGTATAACACAGAGGTAAAACTCTTGGATTCAATTGCTCTTTTCATTAGCCATCTCATGTCAGTTACTTGATATTCTGTCCCTTTGCCTCTCCTGAAACCTACCTGTTCAGTTGCCATTTCTTTTTCCCATGTGTGACTATATTCTTTGCAAGGTCTTAAAGAAAACTTTGCTTGCTTGATGAATTACTGAAATAGATCAAGAATCAGTGAATCCTCTTGTTTCTTCTTTCTTCTTCAGGATAGGCATATTATAGCAATCTTTTTCAATTTCTAGACTGCATAGGCTGAATTGCACTTCTCTATCGTCTATCTCCTATTAAGTAGTTGATTTGATGCTGATGTTGTATATCCAGTAATGTCCATGTGTAGCTTCTTTGTTTATATAGCTTGAAGCAGGTACCGATATTAAACAAAGAATTCTCTTCACAACATTCTATCAAGCTACCTCCTGCATTATTGTGCTTACCCAATCTAAATCTTCCTGTAATTCCAGGTTCTGTCATTTCTCCAATTTTTGCATTCCAATCACCCATTAGTATCCTTATTTGATGTTGCATTTAGTACCTCTTGCAATTCTATAGAATTTCCTCAGTTTCTTCTGCTATGCATCTGTAATAAGTGCATATATGCATGTACTATTGATATTTATTAGATAGCCAATACTTTTAATAGATATAAACCTATTCCTATCCTTTATTGGGTTTTAGCTGAGTATATACTTAACAATGTCTTTTTAGAATAAGTACTTCATATGATTATCTAATTTAAAGTGACCTATTCCAGTCTACCTTAGTGCACCTTCTCCACAAATATCTAGTCCGGTGTGTTTCATTTTGAAAATTTTAAGTTTTTCCTGATTCATGCTTCCCATCCTTCATGTTCCAGTTATATGTATCCTTGTAACTTAAGGAACTTCTTTCAATACAAGCATTACCAGCAATCAGACTTACTTGCAGTTTTGGTCTGACGATAACATCATATTCAGATCTACTTCTGAAAGTTTGAAGTTCTTCCCCAGAAATGTTTTGGACTTGAGGGTCACATCATCTGACCCCTACATTTCTCTAAATGTTCTGAACCATACCATATTGTTTTCTTGACAACAATACTGAGGTGGATTGCCACTGTGTTCTTTCCAGTTTAATTTTGGAGTTCCTTCCCGTAGCTGAATTAACTCCTCACCTGCTCTCCCCACATTGTAGATTACTCTTGAAGCACATTTTTAAAAATCAGAACATTGTTACTATAAATTTAGAACTTTGTAAAGCCAATAAATCTCCGTCCAGGTATTATTTCAATTTACTGATAGATTGACACAAACCACTACTCTTAATTGCATATTTTTTTAAGCCTCTATTTATTCAGTAGTGTGTGCTAGAAATTATTCCTCTAGAATGTACAAGTATGTATTTATTCAGTCCTGTGTCTGAGAAGTCATTCCAGAAAGTCTCTGGGAAGTGCTGTTCCTCTCTCTTTTAACATCATCTCACCCTTTTCTCCCCTAATTCTGAGGCTCCCCCAGAATCTGAGTGGAGCGAAAGCTAAGTTAAATCAAATTAAATTCAAATTAATAAATTTCAAGTAAAATTTGATCATAAACGGTCACTGATTCTATATTCTGCAAAGCAGCATATATTTCTGTTGGCATTTAACACATTATTTCAACCGAGACTCAGGACAGTAACAGTGGTTATGAAATACACTCTTGGAATGGTAATATCTTTGAGCAGCAGGATAAGACCTCTTCTTTGTAGTTGATGGCTTACTGGAAAAGGAATTTATATGTTCTCTTACTTCACTATCATCTGCAAATCATTTGCCGCCTTGTAAACAAAGCACTCCTCCAAAAGCTTGGAGAGAAAACACCACCACCAAATCCCGCCCTTAAAATCTGGAGAGAAAACCTGTTATACAATGGATCAAAGGGTGAAATATTTTCAAGATGATCTGACCATCCTTTTCAGAATGAAATTGTTCTACGGCCTTAATCTTTGGCCAAATGTGGAGGTTGGGCATTTGCTAGGCTGGATTCCAGTCGAACTTATTCTGGGTTCAGGCAAAGAACATTTTAACTTGCCATAACATTAAGTGCCCAGTCCTAAGACTTGCTGGCCCAAAGACAAGAATGCGGGGTGGGGTTCAAATGCTATGCCAAGACTGCCAGCACAATAGGAAACAGTGCCAGGGCAGTGGAATTGCTGCTGCACAATGTCACCACACATTTTACGATTGTACCTTATAATAGTCAGAACGATTCAAAAATGTGACAGCATGAATTGTTTCTGTGAAAGGAATTAAGAAGATAATCAACTGCATGTGTCTACTCAGTAGTAACTCCCATTATGTTTAAACATAACTCAGTGAGACATACATCCACAAAATATACTGGAAATCTGCACCGTCAATGGCCTAAGCCACATAATTGTTTGGCCTGCTGCTGCCTGCAGCGTAGACACCCTTGAGACAGGTTCTTGTGTTCCATCATGAAAGTGATGTTTCCCCCCCATTCTGCTTCATATCACAGCACATGGGCAATGTAAGCCAGGCTGATATGTGTTGGGGAAGGAGTTCATCATGGCTTGTTCCCTCCAGACTCTCTTACTGGTTCAGCTCGTCTTCTGCACCTCAGTCTGTCTCTCCAAATTCCTGAGCTGCATGACTGGTAGGACCCCCTTTTTCCTGTTTGTTTCTATTTTTGTGTTCTTTTGGGGGGGGGTAGAGAATCATGAGTTTCAGTGTTGACAAGACATTGGATTAGTAAATTGATCCATTGACTTTACACCTCCCCTTTATTCATTATGCTTTCCTCACGTTCCCCTTCCAATGGAGGGTGGGAGGGAGAGAAAGGCAGGTGTGTATACACCATTGATCAAGCAGACCCTCCCACAAGGAGGCTGATTTAAGGGGAAAAAATCATGCTTTGATGCACTGATTGGATGATGAGAAATGCTGGCACTACAGTAAAGCTCAGGGCATCCCTTGCACTGGATATGTAGGAAATGAAGAAACTGAAGTACAAATATGATATTTATAGTGACCATATATTCTTTATTATAAAGGACAGTCCTTTATCTCAGAAAGCTGTTCTTTAGATTTATCTATTTTTCAAAAATTCACTTGTGTCCTTTATTTTGGCCTTTTAACTTTTACCATAAAAATGGTACCGCTTAATGCACAGTCTTTCGCATACATGTGAAACATATGGACATTGAATTGTCTTTTTAAAATACATTTAGATATACTGCTTGATTTTAGATATTTTTATTAGAATATGCCTTTTTGTTAAAGTTTTGCTTGGTCTTGAACTTTCCTTTGTAAAGCAAAGTTATAAACATAAATAATTAAACTTTTTCATGCTTATGAACCTCTTTCAGATTTGCCCCTTTTTCAGTTTTAGTCTTTATGTTTTCCAAGAAAATATGGGCACTAGGACAACATTGAAACATGTATGTGTGTGTGTTGAGAGGTTGACCACAAAATGATTTTTTTAAAAACAAAAAAGGAAATGAGGTTGTGGTGCACTGATCGCATGATGCTCATGGGTGCTAGCCTTGAGGCTGTCCAGGAGACAGTATTACCCGTTAGGAAGGACTACTCTCAGTCTCTACAGTAGTGTTTCTCAACCGTGGCAACTTGAAGATGTCTGGACTCCAACTCTCAGAATCCCCCAACCAGCATGGCTGGCTGGGGAATTCTGGGAGTTGAAGTCCAGACATCTTCAAGTTGCCAAGG